GAAATGTTAACGGCCCATGGAGGTAGGAAAAGATGCTCAACCTGGACAGTGAGCCGGGAGATGTGAACACCACCAAGAGATCCTACTCTGCGCCCAGCAGATTGGCTAAAACGAAAAGTCCGACCATTCAGGATGTTAGCAAGGACACACAGCAAAGGGATGCACAGACACTGCTCCATGGCCTATAAATGTAAAGGGGACAACGCACGAACCCCTAGACCCAACAACCCCATCATAAGGTACACGTGCAGGAAGCAGCTGCATGGGTCTGTAGTGCTGAGGACACCCTGAAAGTCCCCAACAGAAACTAGGATAAATAGTAGTATATATAAATGGAATATTAAATAGCACTTAAAATGAACTGGGGCCACATGTATCAGCATAGATCTCAAAAGGATAATGTCTTTATATAGTTTTAAAACACTCAATACATGATTTGGGGCAGTGCTGAAAAGGTAAAAACATTAAAAAGTGTGTAGGGCTGGGGTGGGATGGGGATTGATTGCAGACAAGTCCCAGGGATCTCTTTGGGGGTGATACAAAGGTTATACAATTGGAATGTAGTGGTGGTCATACAGCTCTATAAATTCACGAAAACAGAGATGCCTGGGTGACTCAGTGATTGAGCATCTGCCTTTGGCTCAGATCATGATCCTGAGGTCCTGGGATCGAGTCCCACATTGGGTTCCGCAGAGGGAGCCTGCTTCTCCCTCTGCCTATGTCTCTGCCTCTCTCTGTCTCTCATGAATAAATAAAATAAAAATCTTTAAAAAAAAAATTCACTAAAACAATCAGCAAACCATACACTTAACAGGAGTGAATTTTATGGCATGTACATTATACCTCAATAAAGCTGTTGGAAGAAAAAAAAAGCCTATCTAGTAGATCTAATAACCTATTTTTGAAAATGCATGGGAATGATAAACACCAAATGTAGGACACTGGTTCATTTTGGGGTGGGGGGAGAGCTGGGGAGGATACACAGGGGCTTTGCATCTGCCATGTTTTATTTCTTAAAAAAACAAAAAATAATGATCTGAAACATGGCAAAATGTGAACATCTGACAGAGCTGGATGGTGGATAGTTATTTGATTTTATGTATTTGTATACGTGAAGTAGTGTATTAATATAGTGAAAAAAGACTCATTTTAAAGGACTGCTGTGCTGGGTAAATTATACAGAGAGCTTAATCCAGTGCCTGGCCCACAACAACTGATCAAATTTCAGCCATTATGATTACTGCTGCTGTAACTACTACTACCATCTTGCTCCTCCTAATGTCGAAAGATCTCAAGACAGAGCAAGCCAGCATCTCTTGGCTCCTGCAGCCAGGGACTCTCTTCTAAATCCAAGGCTTCTGTATATCCCACTCCAGTGCAGGAAATGGGGTGATCCTGCAAAACCTACAGAGAGCAAGCACTTCCTTCTCTCTTCAAGCCAGAAGATAACCCAGCCAGGGAGGGTGTCCCCAGGCCATCACACTTGAAAGCCCCCTTTCCAGTCATTCAGAAAGCCCTGGGCTCTGGGAAAGGAAAGGTGCTAGCATAAAAGGGGAACAGCTCCCTGAGCCTTCAATCTTCCTGCCTCTGATAGAAGGAGGCAGCTCCAGGGGAGCCTCTCCAAATCATATTATCATCTCCAATAACCCTTACCCAACTGTTGGGATCTCGGAGGTCCTGGGGATTTCTACCCCTGCATTCTTCAGACCTGGCCTGTGCCTCTGCCCCTGGGTCCACTGACCATGTCTATGCCCACAGGTGAAGGAGGGTGGGGCTGGCATGGAGAGGATGCCACCCTGATCACGGAGAAGATATCATTTCAGGGGGAACAGGTGACTCAGCCCTGAGCTCAGGTGCAGTTCTCCATGACATCTATAGTGCCTGTGACCTGTTCCTTCTAAGGCAGCTGAGTGATGAACAGGCGGTAGCCAAGGTAGCTGCAAATGGGGAGGGGGTAGCGGAAAACTAGGGGGCATGGTTAACAGAATTCTCCTGTCATGGATCTGTATATTCTTACTCAGTGGTTCCGGCACCGGGCATGGGGTGGAGGGTAGAGATGTGTGATTTTGCTGCTGGGGGACATGTCTGGAGATAATTTTGGTTGTCACAATTCAGGAGGGGGATGCTACTGGCACCTAGTGGGTAGAAGCCAGAGATGTTGCTAAACATTCTACAATGCTCAGGACAGCCCCGCATAGCAAAGAATGATCTGGCTCAGAATGTCAACAGTGTTGAGGCTGAGAAATTCTGCCCCAGAGGGAAGGAACAACATTTACAACTTGAAGATTATAGAAGATGGGAGTTCAGAGAGATATATCAACCTGCCTAACGTCACACAGCAGGAAATGGCAGAGCTCAGGACTGTCTCACTCCCCTCGCCATGCTTTCTCTCCAGGGTGGCTGGGCCAGGTTCAGAGGAAGGGATATCAAGTGGGATGGAAGTCTAGGCACACACCAACAGTGACCTCCATTTCTTCCAGAGTGGTGGGCTGGATATGTCTGGAGAACAAGAGAAGGAGGCACTGGCAGTTTCTAGTGGGTTCAGGTCCTCTGCCATCATGGCATGAAATCTGCCCCATTCCTATGGATGCCTCAGGCTTCAGTTCAACCAATCGCCCCTCTTCATCTGATGAAACCAAATGGCTGGATACAAGGGAGAGAGCCCCCATGAGTCACAAGGATAACTAAACCCACATGCAGAAAAACAAGTTTTTGGTGAAATCTCTCCACATGTGACTTTGGCACATTCCCTATCCAAGTGACATGGAAGCCATGGAGCAGAGAGGCAGGCTCTAACAGCTAAGGCACAACAACAGCCCTGGTGTCATGTGGTCCCTCCTTCTAGGAAGTGGGTACCATCACCCCCAGGTACAGATGAGAAAACTGAGGCTCGGAAAGGCTACACAGCTACCAAGTGGAGGCCAAGATTTCAACCCAAATCTGTATTTTAATTTGTTTCAAGGGGCCCCTAAAAAGTGATGGAAAGCTAAGCAAGATGCCCCTTAAAGCTGCAGAACCTTCAAAAAGCTGGCAGGGATGAATCTGACTAAGCAGAGAATGAAAAGCCACAGGGTGATCACAAATGATGTCAGACTTCCTGGTTCTTAAGGGGACTTTGCTTAAGGGAACTATGAAGGTATGGGATCTAGGAAGTGGCAGGGTCTAGTGGAACCCCACTTTTTGGGGTCCAAAAGACTTGGTTTGACATCTTTGCTCTGTCCAGGACTGTGATCTCAGGCATAGGACCTCACTTTCCTCAGCCTCGGTTTCCTCATCTGTCAAATGGGCTCAAGAACCTCAGTCTCATACGTGTGTGTTGGGAACGGGCAGGAGAGAGTTAGTGGATGATGATGCCCAGTTTGTGGTGGCTGTATCTATTCTGGTTCTGCCCACTCACAGATTGGGTGGGAGGAGGCATGGAGAATTTTAGACTCATCTTGTTGCCATGTTGGTGAAAACTGTCTTCATACCAAAAAGGCAACTCAGTTACACACTCAACAAGCTCAAACAAGAAACCAAGATTTGGCAGCATTTGAAGCAGTTAACAACAAAAAAAGACAATTTAGCTCTGCTGTGGAATCAAGGGAAACTTCACTCTATTTAAAGATGCCACAGGTCCAGGAAATAGCTTCCCACCGCCTGGCTAAGGGCTGAATAACTGGCTGCGCAGCCAATAACAATACGGACTCACACAGCACACCCTTTCTCGTGGAGAGTGCAGAGTGGATTCCGGTTATCTCCTTTCAGGTTTTATAGGCTATTCACGGAGGGCATGTAGATCTGCTTTATAAGGATGAGGCTCATAAGAAAATAGATCCAGAGGAGACTTGCAGGGAGGCCAAGGAGCTGAATTTAGCCAGCCAACGCCCTTTGCTATTCATTGTTCTACACTTCTTTGTTAGGATTTTTTCCCTCCCTCTTGCTCTTTTTTTCCTTCCTGGTTAACTTCTCTGCAGCTAGGCGCTGCCACTGCCCCCTTCTCACCACCAGAGACACCATAGTCCCCTTCCCTCCAGTAAGGAGGCCTCCCCAAGGCCTCACCTGGGCCCAACATCCCACGGACCCATTATCCCTCCACCCAAAATCTCTAAGGTGATCCCAGGGCCCCCTGAACCCAGATTCAGGTCCTAAACTGCTGCAGAATCCACTTCCCAAGTGGGGGTTACCGCCCCCTGGAACACGTTCCAGAGGCAAGGACGGCCTGAATGCAGCTCCCATGTTCTAGAACCTGCAGCTTCTTTGAGCCTCAGCCTTCCCATCTGCAAAATGAGGGTACTGGCCCATTTTCTCAAGTCCTCACCAGCTCTAAACAAGATTCTCATTTTACAGAGGGAGGTACCAGGAGAAAACTTTCCTACATTTTTAAACAGAAGTTATTGGAGCAAGAGGGCAGGGACTTTTTTTTTTTTTTTTTTTAATCTTTTCACGGTGCCGGCACTCAAAGGATCCATTCTCTGAGATTGCTCAGGCTGGATCCTCCAAAAGGACGACGCCAAACTTGGCGATCCCTGGAGGGGCTACCTGTGGCTAGGCACTGCGGGCCTGGGTGCCCTGGGCAGGGAGGAAGGGGCGGGTGGCCGGAGAACAGGAGCTTCTCTCTGTCTCTCTTCCCCCCTCCCCCTCTTTCTGTCTCTCGGTCCCCTACGCTGGCTGGGGCCAGACTTTTCCACAGATGGGCAGGAGGAGTGGGGGGCACAAGGGGGACTCGGAAAGGGGGAGAGCAGCTGCCAAGGGACGAGCGTGGGGGGGCCGAGGCGGGAGGACGGGAAGGAGGGGAGGAGAACCGGGCCGAAGAGAGGAGGGGGAGGGGGAGGGGGAGGAGCTGGGAGAGACCCGGGCGCGCCGCAGCGGGGCCGAGGGGGGAGGGGAGGGGAGGGGGGGGAGGGGGGGAGGGGGGGCAGGCGGGTTGGGAAGTTTTCGGAGCCGGGGGGCTCTCGGTCGGCCCGGGCGGGGCGCGGGCTCGAGGGGGCGTGGGGGCGTGGGGGCCGCGCGGCACTCACATAATGCTTGTTGGGCACCCGCCGCTTCTGCACGTCCAGCACCTTCACCTCCACGATGCTGCGCCGCGGCGGCATGGCCGTCGTCCGCGGGGCCCGGCGCGGGGCGGCGCGGGGCGGGGCGGGGGCGGCCGCCGCGGGCCGGGAGCGGGGGCCGAGCGCTATCCGGAGCCCCGGGCGGGCGAGCACCGACCGAGCACGAGCCGCCGCCGCCGCCGCCGCCCTGCGCTCCGCGCGCCCTCGGCCCGGCCCGCCGCCCCCGCCCCCGGCCCGCCCCCGGCCCGCCCCCGGCCCGCCCCCCGCGCCGCCGCCCCGCCCCCCTTAAAGGGCCCGGCCCGGCTCCCGCCCCGGCGGCCGCCCCGGGGGGCCCGCGTCCGGCCGCGCCGCGCCTTTGTCCCCGCGCCCCGCCCCGGCGGCCCGGGCCGGTCACTGACCGACCGGCACACTCGCCCCCGCACTCGCCGGCTCGGGAGCCGGATCTGAATCCCGGGTTCTGATTCCGACTCTCCCGCAGTCTCTTCCGTGGCCTGGGGCAAGTCGCTTTAACCTCTCCGGCCTCAGTTGCTTCATCTGTGAAATGGGCCTGGAACGCCTGCCTGCCGCGTGAAGATGCGTGGGAAGCCGTTGGCAGTGTCTGGCCGCGGTATAGATGCTGGCAGTTTTAAACTCAGACCCAAGCCTTGGGGATTCGGGGAGTAGCGAGAGGCCAGCAGCTTCTTTTCCTAGGTGTACAGTCTGAGAGATGGGGAGAGAGGGAGACAAGTCGCAACAAAGGCAAGTCCAATATAATCGACGTAGCCGAACCGCGTAATAGGGTGGTGGATGTGAGCGTGGGGCAAATGGGTGCTTGGTAACAGAGCCATTGATTCCCAAATGTGGGCCAAGTACTCCTTTGCACGTGCAGTGCCTTCTGCTTTTCTGAAATGTTCCCTGTGAATCCTCAAGACAACTCTGGGAGGAACCGGTGGTTGGCCCATACTACAGAGGAGGTGACTGAGAGCAGGCTCCAGACTCACAGAACTGGTGGAAAGAACCCATCACTGTCTGGCTCTCGGCATGTTTTGCAAGCTAAGGTGGCTGGGGCTGCTCCACGTTTCTTCATCTAGTGCCTCCTTGTCCTGGCTTGGCTGGGAGTAGTTTTCAGGTGTTGGCTGAACAAACATCTGAACGAATGTACGCATCGATCCTGGGATAGAAGCCTGGCCCATGCTGTCACGCTAGTAAGTGGGGGCTTTTTCCAACAAAACTGCATAGCTCCCCTGTAGGCCTGAAAGAGCCCTGGGCTCCTTCCCACCCTGGGGGCAAGGTCACTCTTTGAATGATGGTAGGGGTCATCCAGGGGAGGATGCTTCCCAGCAGCCCTGGCCAAATCCCTGGATAGTTTAGTGCAGATTCACTTTGGATCCACCCTACCATTTGTCTCTCCAACTTTCTTCCTTTTTTTAAAAAAAAAAATTTTTTTTTAAGATTTTATTTATTTATTCACTATATATATATATATATATATATATATATATATATATATAGAGAGAGAGAGAGAGAGAGAGAGAGAGAGAGGGGCAGAGGGAGAAGCAGGCTCTATGCCAGGAGCCTGACGCGGGACTCGATCCCGGGACTCCAGGATCATGCCCTGGGCCAAAGGCAGACACCAAACCACTGAGGCACCTAGGGATCCCCTCCAACTTCCTTCCTTCTCCTCTAACCACCCTGCCCTGGCCCCAGGGGATGGCCTGTGCTGATTTCACCCATGGGCTCCTTGTACTCAGCTTCCTGGTGGGCTTGGCCAATGGGAGGCCCTGGCAGGAGATTGAGCAGAAGAAAAGAGAGGTCTGGGTATTGATTTCCTGAGTTCTCTTCCTGCACGGTTGTGCTTACCAAAGGTGGCCTTGCACGTACCTTCTCCCTTAGGGTTCCCGGAACCACTTTTAACCCGCTAAGCGTGTTAAGAGTTCCACTTAGTGGGAAAGAGCTCTGGGCACTGCACTATCTCCTCATGGTTCCCCAAGCTCTGCCCACACCTTTGTAAGTGGACCCTTAGGTAAACGTCCCCCGGTGGCCCTGTTGAGAGAGGCACCCGTTTAACACCAGGACTTTCACTGATACCATTTCTGTAAGGGACATTCTTCTGAAGCATAATTGCAAGTCACATCCTTGGAAATGTCCAGTACGTTAAAGGCCTGGCTTTTCTGTTCCTTTTACCTCATCCTCTGAATGAGCCAAGCCTTCCTAATAAGGCAGAACCACAGAAGGCAGCCGCTAGAGGAAATCTGTGAATCAGCCAGCTTCCCCTGGTTTCCCAGAAAGGCAATGCGACCTGGCCGAGTCGCACACTGAATGGCGAAGTTGGGACCTCAGCCCTCCTGTGCTTGCTTACCTCTTCTGCTGTGGCAGGCCTGGCCTGGGAAGACAGACTTTCCTCTTACCTGCCTGTAGCAGAAGGTGCAATACTTGCATCTTTCCCTGCGCTTCCTTTGTCTCTCTTTTCTTCTTTATTGTAGTAAAATGTAGGTGATACAAAATTTTCACCATTTGTAAGTGTTCCATTCTGTGGCATTAAGTACATTCACATTGTTGTACAACTGTCACCAACATCCATCTCTAGGATTTTTTTTGATCTTCCCAAATTGAAACTCTGTGCCCTTGAAGCAAGCATTCCCCATTCCTCCTCCCTCAGCACCTGGCGACCACCATTTACCAATTGTGTGACTTTGGGCAAGTCACGTGACCTCTCTCTACTCTGTCTCCCGATCTGTAAGATGGCTTGTTCATTGAGATCTAAGTGAGATAATACACATAAAGTACATGTATTTTTGTTATTTTGCTATTAGCTGATCTGAGATTGCTAAACATCTCCCTTTAAGTGCATCCAAATCTCAATATTTATTTATTTATTTATTTATTTATTTATTTATTTATTTATTTATAAGATTTATTTATTTATTCATGAGAGAGGCAGAGACATAGGCAGAGGGAGAAGCAGGCTCCTCGCAGGGAGCCCGACGTGGGACTCGATTCCCGATCCCAGGATCACACCCTGAACTGAAGGCGGACACTCAACCACTGAGCCACCCAGGCGTCCCTCAATCCTAATTTATTTATTTATTTATTTATTTATTTTATTTAAAGATTTTATTTATTTATTCATAGAGACACAGCTAGAGAGAGAGGCAGAGACACAGACAGAGGGAGAAGCAGGCTCCATGCAGGAAGCCCGATGTGGGACTCCATCCTGGTTCTCCAGGATCCGCCCCGGGCTGAAGGCGGCGCTAAACCACCGGGGCTGCCCTCAATCCTAATTTAATACCAACTCTGCTATGAACTACATCTACTCTTTCCTAGTACTGATCCTCTTTTTCGCCCCTGATTTTATGTCCGGTCTCATCTCCTACCAGTTGCCTCTGTTTTCCCTATATCCCCCAAATAGAAATGACTTGTGATTTTCAGAAGGAAATATATTCTGTTTTTTCCTCCTAGTATACCTTAGTGTAAGCGATTCATTTCCCTACCCTGTCTGCTAGTGACCTCTTATTCAGCCTTCAAAGCCCAGCTTGGATGTCACTTCCTCCAGGAAGCCCTTCATCCCAGATGTATAATTGCTTCCCCACCATCCTCCCTCCAGCTATCATCATGCCTTGTCACAGCCATTATTGCCTTCTTATAGATCTGATTCCTTTGCCAGACTCTGAGCCCCCAAGGAGCTGGAATGTGTCTTATTTTTCTCAAGTCCCCCAGCATCTGGCACAGACTAACATTGAGAGGCCCTGAGGAAATGCCTGTGAGAAGAATAAATCCATCTCCATCTCTTTAACCTAAATTCTCTCCTGGGCTGGGCTTACTTTTGTCCCTACTCACTCCCCAGAGACCTCTTCCACCAAGCTTCACTGTGTCTATACTCCTGGGAACACTGCATTTTCCCTGATTGGGGTGTGAAGAGAACAGAGCAGAGAAAAAGGTAAATTTGCTGCTTAGCTGACTTAATTCTTTAAATTTTCTGTTCTAGAAGTGCATTTTGCAAGCTCAAGAGCTGTAGACCGTAGAAAATCAATGCTGAAGCTGACAGACCACAGAATTCCATATGGTGGGTGTATTTGGGAAGAGGGCTACACATTTGAGGGGCATGGAGTCCATCAACCCGAATTAGGTTCTGGTCTTTTTGTGATTTTTGTTATCTACATGGATGTCAGGCTGTACTCCCAAATCCCAAGTCCCCCGGATGGACAGCTGGGCCCAGGGAGCTGAGGCCCTGCTCCTTTTCTCTCCCATACCCCCCATCAACTGTCTGAGATGGAATCAGGCCTCTTTTAAGAACAAAGGCAGGGAGAGATTCTTTCCCTCTGAGACTGTCATCTGATTGACTAGCACAGCAAGATGCTCATAACAAACACAGCCAAACCTACAAATGCTCAGTGGCCAGGCACATGTGGTCCTGGGAAATAGATCATGGGCTGTAAGGAAGTGAGCCTTAAAGCAAAGTTCCAGGTGCCCAGGCTGCAGGGCAGAGCCTTGGAGGTGGTAAGGAGCTTGAGTAAAGTTACATTTCAGAGTCTGAAGAAGGAAAGCACACTTTCCTTCCATCTTCTCTCTTCTCCTGGCTGCCATAATTATCTTCTTCCTAAAAGGAAGCTCTGTCCATAATCCTCCCCTGCTCAGAAACCCTCACTGGCTCCCACTGCTCATAGATGTTCATGTGCTATAGATTGCCATTCAAGGCCTCCAGACCTGGATCCTTTAGTACTGCTTTCAGCCCTACCTACATTGTGTTCATGAATTGTGCCTATATCTGTCTTTTCCTCACTTTGTAAAGGGATGTGTGTGTAAAGTGACACATGTGTGTCTGATCACAGACCAGGTACTATATATAGCACCAGACATTTCCTACCCAATTCCCTATCTAATTTGTCAAAGAAACTCATGGTGTGTTATTTTTCCCATTTTCAAGTGAGAAAAGCAAAGCTCAGAGAAGTTCCCCGTGTCATAGCACAGAAAAGTGATTTAGCTGGGATCTGAATTCAGACCTGTTAGGTGCCTAACCCATGTTCAGTAAGACCTCACTTGAGGATAGGACTGATGTTTTCTTAATATTCATACCCTCTCCTCTTCATTCAGTAGATATCTTTCT